CGATACGATCTCGGAGTCAGAACAGCGACACAAGCTCTCCGGAGAGAAACAAATCAACGAAACCAACACCTCACACCACCTGGAAGATCTTCACCATGAGGCAGTCGTTCATGTCCATCATCTTCGCCGCAGCGCTCTTATTCAAGTGCTACGTACTGTCGGGGGCGTTACCCATGGCCAGGACGGAAGATGGCTCCTTGGAGCAGGAAACTTTGGCCTCGCTGCTGAGCGACAAGGCGACGGAAAACAGCCTCAGCGACGCAGACCTGGGCACCGAGGAGAAACTGAGCGGGCCCAGGATAATCGTTGTCGCCGATCCGAGCATGTGGAGGGACCTGCGGGTGCTGCACAGCGGCCTTTCCCTGTACAAGCGGAGAGCTGACCACAGCGGCCAGGTCATCGAGCACAAGGACACCAGCCAGGACGTGAACATCCCCATCCTGAGGAGGGACAACATGAGGTGCATGGTGGGACGGGTGTACCGGCCATGCTGGGAAGTCTAGGACACTTGACAACTCACACGGAGATGTAACATAACCCAAAACCCTGTGTATCTATATTTAAATGATTGCAGATGTGAGAATAAAAACCGTTGAATTTCTGCCTCATATCTTGTGCATGGTTTGATATCTCTTTTCAGATTCTTGTCAGATCTGTTCATACATGATGGCACAGACACACAGAAGCTTAGTGAGCTACAGACGTGTTGGTGGGTTTCATTGTTGAACTTTGGCACCTCTTTCTACGGTGCAACCTTCAACATTCAACACCAGACTTTAAAGGATGAAGTTAAAAAAAAAATCAGATAGCATCCAGTAAAATTATCTTCTCTTTTCCAAAAAGTCATGAGATGAGAAAGCAGCTCCTCTTTCCTCTTGTATCGGAGACATTTTCACATTAGATCTTGCAGGACGAGTTCGTCCTCCACAACAAAGACGAGCTGCGTCTCGTAATATAATATTGTCTTACAATGTCCAAAATATATTAATTCTGTGTGAGAGAAAAGAAGTGAATCCGTTATTTTAATGTGCAGAGCGACGGTCTGATCGGCCACAACATTAATACCAGCTGTTAATGAAATAATCGTTTTTCATACATTCTTGGAAATCAGAGGTAGGAAATATTTTGCATGTTTGCCTTCGGGTGCGAAGAAGCAGTCGTCTGCAGAGGGTGTTTGTGCCCCAGACAGAGCTACACCTCAACAAAAAGAAGAAGAAGAAGAAAAACAAGAGGCTAAGCTGTGCGGAGCAGCTGACTACACTGATTGGCGCCAACTACAACACGGAGCTTCGTCCCAGGAGTTTAGAAGGAGTGTGAAAAGAACCGAGTGTGTGCTGAAGGGAGACAGCGGTTCTCACATAGCAGCAGAACCTCTGGCACAGTGGCACATCTCTTTGTTACGATAGTGAGCTACACGGTGCAGGCTCGAGTGTTATTGCAGCTAGGTAAACACAGGACGCACATCTAACAGCAGTGAATGTATTAACAGGCACAAATTGAATTATGCCGCTGAGATTCCAACACAGCGCGTTCCGCCAGCCCGTTCTGAGGTCTCACCGAAATCTGTTTTCATTCACTTACAGACAGGTTAGGATTCCTGGACCGCAACATGCACGGAGGACTTCCTGTACAGGGCCGCACACGAGACGTTTGCCTGCGAGGCTTCCTGCGGGAAAAGCTTTTCTGGCACGAAAGCAACTGAACCGAGGAGTTTTGTTGCCTAAAACTAACCAAACTGCAAAAAGACTCCTGAGTGAAAGTCCTGTGTTTGACCCGTTCACGCAAACTACAAGCGTTGATTGATCCACTGGCAAATGGCATCCACAGCCAGAAAAGAAAAGAAAAGAAAATCTCATTCACACCTTTGTCTTCTCACACTTGGACGACTGCGATGAACTGTCTCCATGCATCAGTCAATCCTAGTTTTTAGTGTTTATTAAGATTTAAGTATTTCCATTTTGGGACTTCCACCAAGGCCCATCGGTTTAAAGCACATTTAAATTAATTCTATTTTTATCAAACATCAGTCCACATGTCTGATTTCATTAAGATCCATGAATTATTGTCTGAGAAGTTGTTGAAAAACTTCTTATCTCACAGTGTTAAAGAAAGTGTTCCTGGTCAGTTGAGTAGTTTTTGCATAATCCTGCTAACAAACAAACAAACATAGATTAAAACTTTACGTTGTGGAGGTAATGGTTGTTTTTTACTTCACTTCTGCTGTGAAGACTTTACACGGACACTCATTTATGGCATCAGAGCCATCAGCCGTCTCAAGATGACGATGAAGGTGATGAACTCTCACTTTCAGGAGCTCATACTGATAATGGCGGAGGGTGTGGGTTGGTGTGGGGGTCGGGATGTGACTTCAGGAGAAGATGAAGGGGAAAAGATGAAAAGCTGATTCCCACATGCGGAAAGTGTCGCCTCCCCGAAGACGCTCGTCTGAGCTGCAGGACACAAAACAGCCCAACGCATCTCATCAGTGCATCTGCAGGGATGCTGGTCGTCATGGAGATGGTCAGTCAACATGTAATCACAACGCATTATAAAAATAGCAACCTCCACGCTCTGTGTGTTTGGAGACGGAGACGGTGAAGAAATCCTCTCAGCATCAGGTTCGTGCGCGGCGTGATGGTGTAATGAACGATGTGGATGTGTTCAGGAGAATCTGATCCTCGTCCAGCTCACACTCACCCGCCTCAGTGACCACACACAAGCCACAGTGGCCACGCTGGACGAGGGAACGCAGCTCCTCACACACACACACACACACACGTTTGCACTTGGACTAAATTTTAAGCTATTTTTGGAAAAGGGCATGTGAATATGACTGAGACCTAAAAACCTAATTTCTTAATCAGCGTCTGACTCTGGAATCTTTCACGAACACATCATTATTTTGTCACAGCAGGTTTAAGGTTTTGTCTGTGCTCCTGCTCAGAAGTGGTTTCTCCTGGTAAAAGATGATGTCAGCTATTTCCATGCCCCACTCGGGATTTAATGATGTAAGAATAAAGACCAGCCTGTGTCTGAAGTCATTTCATATTTTCTATGCAGTTCCCCAACGCGTTCGAATGACGGAAATGTTTCAGACGCCGGCTCAGAATCTGATGACGGCTGCTGGTTTGTCTCTTATATGTGAAATATCTGAGAATCACAGGTAAAGTCATCACTTGTAATATAACTGAAGCCATATGTGCTTTGATGAGAAGTTCCACTTTCTAAATGGTTTTCCACCTGATGTAAAGCCACATGAGATAGATTCTAAATGTCACGATTTTAATTTAATCACATTCCATCAAATGTTTCCAGGAAATGTTTTGTTTAGTGCTGAGCGCTGGTTCGTGACATGGGAATGTGCTGATTTACAACGTCAGTAAACTAAGTAGTTTATGTCTCAATCTCTAGTTTCAAGTCTTCTTCAATTCACCTGAATGCATTGGGGTGTGAATACTGTTTGATTGACAGCCAGTACCGTCCAATGGTTGCAGGTCATGCATGTGGGTGGACTTACATGCAGTGTCCTCAGGCTCCACCCCTGCTCCTCCAAATATGGTAACTTCTGGTTTCAAGAAACCAAGATAGACAAAATGTTAAACTGAAAACCTCTGGCCGAGACTCTTTTCCTGGGTCCATGAGAAAACTTAACATGTACAACTGTAATAAACAGAAAGTTATGGGAGGTTACAGTCTCAAACCACCACTGACATCACATCACACGCTGCAGTACGTCGAGCATTTACAGCCAACACAGATCACTGTAACATAACGGATGGACGCCCATTGGTTTGCGTGGCGTGACGGGGCAGAAATTGAAATTCCAGCGGCCATAAAACATTGATTTGATTTCTGACGGTGCTCCATGCTGAGGTGGTGGACTGCTCCAGACGCTCTGACGGTGAAAACTCCTCCACTGTTCCTCAGCAACAGACTCTGCGGTTTGTTTCTGTGTCTCATATCCACGGCAACAAGCACGGTGGTGCGTTCAGCAGGGTTTGCATTGATACGGAGAAATGATGTGTGTGATTCTGCATGAACGAGTCATTCAACAAGGTTACAGAGCGAATAAATACTTTCTCAAAATTATAATGATCTTTGGATAGAAAGCCAGAAATGTGAGGTGATGAGGTGCAGCCTTTGCAGATTGTGTTGATGGGGAAAAATAAAAATCCAAGGGCTGTGAATGTGTCTAACACTGGTGGAAAAGTTTATCTCCCTTCATAATTAGCTTTTCATCTCGTAAACAAGTGAAGGTCTCTTGATTTTAAAAGACAAGGATTTAGGTCTAATTGATAAAGTTGGGCTCAGGGTAAATGTAGAAGGCTTAAATTTCTTAAACTGTTTTTATGATTATTGATCAGTGTTCAAATAACTTAACAAAAAAAAAAAGTTGAAGTTCAAAGTTTTTATTACAAGTTTTTTTTTTATGCTTTCAGCTGTTTTCATCAGTGAATACGTCTCTTAAAAATATGGAAAATAAATTAAATGTACCTAAATGACCAAAGTCATGATTGTTTATAGTTGTTTTAATGTTCATATTTACACTTTAATTTCTCCTTTTAATAACTGGAAGCAGATCACATAAATAAGGTAAATACTTTATATGTATTCTCCTATAATTCATATTCCTTTGAGCCAATGCATATCTTCTTTACAGATTAACTTATTGTGCATTCGTGCAAAATCATAATGCAATAAAAAAAAAACATTAGAAACTACAACAACTAAATATTTGGGGTTTGCACTTTAATAAATGTCTGATATAGAACTTCTCTTGGTGTTTAGAGTTCTTGTTGATTTCTCTCTCTTTTATTTGTCTCAGTTTATTTAATTTGACTGTATCTTACTTTATTTTGTAATTTATCTTTCAATATTGTATTTCTGTGATGTTTGTGTGTGCTGTGTATTTTTTTAAAGTTTTTTTTTTACACTTTGCTAAAGTAAATAAAGTAACAAAAAAAAAAAAAAAAAGTTTATTTCTGTCCCGGAAAGAAGCTGCCGTTGTCGTGGCGACACTTCCGCCCATCAGAGCCCCGTTGCTAGGTGACAGACTGTGAGGGCAACAGTAGCCGGTGTTACCTGTTAGCTTAGCGGTGTTACCTGTTAGCTTAGCGGTGCTACAATGAGCGGACAGACAGACACTCGGGAAAATGAAATTGGAAAATGTTTGTCGCACGTGCGGGAGGAGGAGGAGGAGGAGGTGAGTGAAGACGACTCGTTATGACGATGAGGTCATATTATAGAAACGTCACGAGACAAAGTGTCTGAGTTAAACTTCGCATTAATACAAAACTTTGAGCTAGCGGCTAACACTTTGTTTCAACAAGTTGAGCTAACTTCAGAATTAGCATCAGGAGCTACTTGTGTTCCCTCTGTTGACAATGGAAACCAATGGGAACCAATAGAAACCAATAGAAACCAATGTTTCCCATTCAGGTGAGCTGGTTTAAATTTAATGGAACCGATCACAACACCTGTGATTTACCTGCATGTTTACATCAAGTCTGAAAACTTTTACCAGATACTTTTTAACCCGTTTATTATATTGATAAACTCGTGTTAATGAATGTATTAGTTCATGGAAGATTTACATGTTAAGATTCGATAAAATAATAATCCACTATTCATTCAACTGCTAATGTGCATTCTTGTTTTATTTTATCCTATGATTCCCATCAGTTAAATCACGGAACAGAATAAATACAGGTCTGATAAAGAATAGTATATAATAGAACTGTACAAGAAGAATTAAACACTGCAGTGAGGTTGAAATATAAATGAGTGCAAATACAATAGACAGTGTGTTACGTAGAGTATATGGTATCGTGTAGTATGACACAGTGCAGTGCCTGTTAATCAAGTCTTAACAGAGCTCATATTATTTGCATTGCTCTTGATAACAAAGTCTCTTCGTGTCCATTAATGCAGCAGACCGGTGCAGCTCTTGACAACGAGGACGCAGAGTCTCAAATCCGGAGACATGGACACAGTGGGATTCTCACAATGGATCAGGAAGCTAAAATGGAGTCTCTCACCACAGTGAGAGCAACGTACGTCCCTCCGAAGAGTCAAGACGTGAGACTTAAAGGTGTGAAATCTACTATTTCCTCTCATGCCGTCATTAACTCATTATATAAACTAGAAATATGTTTCACCAGAGTTGAAACTTTTATAAAATACCAGATTGCAGTATTCACATATGACACTTAACACTCAGTTGATATTTTTCGGATGAATCGCTGTGCATGCTCGGTTAATCTCTTCTTCTATATTTCTGTGGTTCAGGCATCAGAGGCGAGCTCATGGAAAAACACTTGGCCCAGATGATAAGGTAAGTCGACGATGAAACAAGTCTTTTTGATGCTGAATGAAATAACCGCTGAAAGTGGTTTGTTGACTGACCCTGTCCTGTCGGGAACATGTTGGAGCAAAGTGATGTAATATTTACACGTCTGGGTTTGTTTTACTGTTCAATCGCAGCTGCAATACCTTTAAATCAGGTTTTATGATGTTATTTTTACATGGAGGCCAGAGACGATCCCCGCAGAGGATGGGATACGGAGAAAGGATAATATAAATTCGGTGGGATCTGTCAAAGCTGTTACCATGCAGACAAAATAGGCAGCTTAGTATGAAGGACAAAGAATGAAGAAAGTGTTTGAAGGGTTGGACAAAAAATCCGGCTGTGATTACATCTGCTTTTTGTTTTTAATTGGCGCATCTAGCTTTATTTCTCACCGTTATATGTTCATCTGTTCTGCCTGTAATCACATCTGCGACCTTGATTATGAGCATGTTTGTGCTTTTTATCATAAAACAAAAACACTTAATTTTCTTAATGATTATATTTCATGATTCAAATCACATAAAAATGTTGCGATGCTCAATCAGAAACGAGCAGAACAACCCCAAGACCCTGAAGGGTTAAATTATCTGCATAGAGATAATTAATTTCCTATATCACCAGGGTTAAAGGCTCTACACAACGCGGGTTCACCCACACAGTCTTTGGCTCATAAGACCTCTTCTCAGGACTGTGTGGGAACATATTTGCATGATGAGTGTTCTCGGCCTCACCCTCCTGATTGTGTTCTTCTACCTGTTGGTCCTAGATAATAATTTCCATGTTTACCATTTCTGTGGATTAAAAGCTGTTAACGCAACTGTACCTACAACAACGAGAAGCTGATATGCTCTTGTTTTCACAGCGAAAAGATTCGTGCTGAACTGAACCCACCGACTCCCAAAACAGACTTCTGCTCCACGACCCAGAGGGATTTCAGTGTTGAGGGATTTGTTCCTCTTACGCCTGAAACAACACAAGTTAGTAGTATACACGAGTTTGCACGTTAGTTAATAGTGGGGAAATAAAACGCTGAATAAAACAGCCTTACATTAAAAACAAAAAGAATAACATCTGATCCTTGATGATTTGTACTTGTTGTATTTCCAGGTTCAAGATTATAAAACGGACCAGGCGATTTCATTCTGGAGTGAAAACCACCAGCGGATACAGGTTTGTCACCTTGTTCCACGTCTTAGACAGTGTTTTGCTGTTGTCATGATATTAGTTGTTGGGTCACTACTAAAACCATTTTGGACAATTCGTCATTCTAAGGACCTGATTGATGAAGGTCTAACATTTCATTCACTGTTGTTTTGTCTCACAGGGTGTGACCGCTGTACAGACCCCGAAAGCACCCTTCAGGAAGTCAGCGTTTTTCAGCACACCTGTCGGCGAGCGGCTGGATGAAATAGAGCCCCCACCTGACAACTGAGATAGTACGTCACATTACATCACTCCATTGCCAGTTAATAATAAGGTGGAAATCCGCTTTAAAGGTTAATGATGTGCTCGGTGATTAGCTGCCTTTGTCAAACTTGAAACAAGCACACGAGCCTGAAATATCTACAGCACATATATCTAATACCTATACATGTTAAAATCAGTGACCCTGGATATATGCATGAATCAATATTAGCTGATGACACGTTGACAAACCACAGACAGAAGAACACTGACACGTGGACTTTAAACCTGCAAAACAAACAGTCTCTGATACTTTAATTCAAAACACAGCAAGTTTGTGTTGTGTGGATTCGTTGAGAAACGTCCCCCTCCATGTTTGCTTTTGTAGAAATAATAATTTACTTCATCAGTTTCAACACTGTGTGTACTTTTGGTCTTTTTTATTGTTGCCATCGAATGGTGCAACAAAAACCTGCACCTCTTCCCTCCTGCACCGGACAAATATCTTGCGAGAGAACCTACCAGGACTCCGCAAATAGCCCAGAGGGTGTTTCTCCACCTTTAGATCCACAATATGTGGATGTGAAACACAATACGTTGTTGGGAATCCCGCAGTGTAACGCTGCGGCTCCACGTATGTTTTCTGTCAATCACAGGACACTTTCAGGAGCTGTTGATCCTCCCTGAGCTTTGAGCAGGGATTAGTTGGCGGTAGCTATGGTGACAAGTCATTTTAGCTTATATTAATGCAGCTTTTCTCTCCAAACATTTCATTATCTCACAGGATGGTACTGTAAAAACCAATTTGCCTCTCAAACACAAGGCCTTGGAGCGACTTTGTACTTAACATTTCAAATGAAATGCTTTTTACAGCATTCAGCAGTTTTTCATGTTTTGTTTCTCCTCTTTTATTTCACTTGTGTCTCTTTGTTTTGGATGTCTCTGAATCACGTCAGGGTTTAGAATAAATCAGCCCGAAAACAAGATGTCAAGGGCATCAGCGTAATCACTCTGTGATTGTTCTCTCACAGCTTCTGCTGAATTCTCTCTTTGTGAATTCAAACAAAGATGATGGACAGAAATGACATTCAGGAGGTTGTTGCTCAGTTTGAACAAAATCAAAAAGGTCATATTTGCCTATTTTCATTCCTTGTTATTTTCACATACATAAATTATATTTGTCTTCTGTTGTAAACAATTAGCAGAGAACCATTTCGTGAATGTTTTGAAATAGAGTTAGAGATTTGCTAACGGGCGAAGGTGCATTGAAGAGTCTGAGGATTCTGGAAACACATTCACAACAGCGATAAGTGACCTTGGTTTTGCAAGAGATGGGTCTTTTCAGAAAAACAGATGGAGCTTGGCTCTGTGACTTGAATGAAACGCTGAGACACTTGGTCTTGGTCCCACAACAACAGCTGTATAGAGTTAAGTGGAGTTACAGTCTAAGCAAGTATTACGTATAAGTATTCTCCTTTTGAAACCACATTTCACCACAATTCTATAGATTTGGATCTGCACCAAATTACACACTCTCTTAAATATCAGTCTACTAAACAAGAAAGATCCATGAAATTATGAAAATGACATTTTTAAAAAACGTCTTAGTCATTTTTGCATAATTCTACTAACTAACAATAAAATCTGCGGTCTTCCAAGTTTTGCCATTGATTTGAAACCCCTCTACTGCGCAGCAGGTACGAAAGAACCAAATAATTAGAGCAGTGTCGTGGCCGAAAGACTTTCTGATCTCTTTAACATCATTTACCGTCTCAATAAAGATAAAAACACCCACTTTTTATTCATCTTTCTATAAATGAACCTGTTTTTAAACCGACACTGGCTCAGAAGTCGTGAAATCATCAAACAGTTAAATATATTTGAGCTATTTCATGTGAATTATTTCTCATATTTGCGGCCAGTATGTTGGATGCCTTTGTACTTCAAGGTCTTGGCTAAATGAAAAGGCAGAACGCAGCACATGGCAGGATGACAGACAGCCTGGTCAGTTGAGAGAAGTTTGCAGGTCAGCGTGGAGTTCAGCAGAGACCTTCAGTCTGCTCGCTGCAGATCCAGCGGGCGCTGGCCGCGTGTCACTGTGAGAAAGTGGGCGGTAATTACAGCTGTGCAGGAGGGAGAGATGTTCTCCCGCAGAGATGAAAACACACCACAGACACCAGCACAGATAGCTGCACACTGCGCCCGCGCCCCCTCTGCCACACACTGATAATGAGCATCTAATGATCAGTGATGTCATTACAAGGAACACACAGCTGCCTGCTACCGGCTGGATTTTCTCCCCTGCTTCCCTGATCTGTCCACAAGTGCCAGCAGCTAATTAGGGTGCAGATACTCGATGCCCTGCTCTTCCAGTGCAAACGTCTGAATAATGACCATACTATATAACAGCAGTATTTTAAAATGTAAAGCAATAAGGCTCATATACGATGAAAAACCCCCTTAATTGCAAGGGTAAAAGCACAGAAGTATACTCAGGTTGATCATTTTAATTCTAACGTTCAGAAAAGGCATCTCTCTCCTCAGACTGTCTATCGCTGCAGCTCCTCTCTTCAGCCCCCGTCTCAAACACTTTTTAAATTTATGTTTGATCTCTGAGCTTTAAATACTAATTTAAAATTCCATCTACCGATCGCTACTGTGCAGATTCTGCTTCCAAATGACGACCAAGGTGAATTAATTTTTTATAAATGGAAAAAAAAGAGTATTTTACTCAGTTTATTGAACAAAATATCTTACAGTATCTTGGATATACATATATACATCATATTTTGTACTGTTGATGAACCCCTGCAGTGACATTGATTTAAACGCTGTGCCTCCAAATTCCACTGGATGCTCCGAGGAAATATTAATACATCATTGACTTCCAAACACATTATACAAATCTTATGCTAGACGGTACAGCAGTATATGGCATTAAATAAAAATACAAAATGTTCTGCTCTGTCTATACATTTTGCATTTCCCCCCTCTGTCCCCACTTCATCATGTAAACCTGCACAGGTAGTAATAGCACTCTAACCAGGCAGACCTTAACCCTCAATTTGAGCACAAACTGTCGCTCCAGGAAGCACCCAGCCATAAAGGTCATGTTAAGAAAGGCGAACAAGAGAAAACGAGACATGCTTTACCTTCCTGCCAAGGGAGAGGATGCAAAACTAACGTACCCTACTGTCCCATTGTCCCTCTCTCTCACCAATGATTTGTACAAGCCTCATGTCCATTAAACTAGGAAGCAGTGCGGGTAATTGATGGTGGGTAAAGGTAGCTGTGACTGTCCTGATAGGTGTGTGTGTGNAGTTACAATATGCAGGTAATAAATATACCTGGAATTTCCTCTGGGTATTTTTTACTTCTATGGTGTCATTGATTTTTCCTCTGCACGGAAATCACCAATAAGGACTTATTCTAGAACAAATAAAGTAGTGGCTCGGCCACCGCAGCTTCCACTGTCGTCTGCTGCTGCTGCTGCACATGTTCCGCAGGCCTCTCAGATTACATACACGTCAGTCTTCTCCCCAAGAAGCCAGTACGTTCTCATTTTGCCTTTGCCCTGGAAAAAGACACAGAAATCAATATGTTCATCAATGGAGATGAAGTGTGGGGGGGGGTGGGTGGGAGGATGATAGCCTCCATTAAGCTGCCCTTCTTTAAGGGTGACCCTGGTGGTTAGTGCAACTCGTCCTACACCTCCACCTTTATACACACATCGTACTTTGGCAGAACAAAATCATGTCTCATACTTAGTATAGTGGAAACCTTATTTCTCTGCAAGCTTTGCCTCCATTCTGTCTTCTAACCCTAATTGTTTGAGCTATTTATATATGATTATAGAGGATTTTATGAGAATTAAGTTGTACTTTTAGGCTAGGTATTTAACCAATCATCTGTTAAGTGATGATATACTAACTGTATAACATTTGAATTGGCCTTTAAAAACCTGCTGTGTGAATGTAAGTGTAGAACACAACCTCCTCCTCAAGACACAGAAACAATACCGATGCCACATATACAAGATGATTTGTATTTATTAATTATATTATCATCCCTCAGACTAATGAAAATAAACATTCATGTTCGTTCCGATTTGTTTGCAGTTTGATGCTTTGTTCCCCATCAGCAACAAAAGTGGGTCAACCTTCGTGAGCGCAGTGTCGTTTATCTTTAAATACGAAACGTTTCTCACCTTCATTTCTATATCTCCTCGTAACTGGAGATCAAAGTAGCCAAACTCATCCAGAACTTCCTTGGTGGCTGAGGATAAGTGGATTTTCAAGGCTGCGAAACACAAAACAGAGCAGACTGAACATTTTCACTCTGCGAATGACATGCGACATCTGATTTAGCACTCAGGCCTCAGGACATAGAGTAGAGGAGGAAACTGTGGAGTGAGATGAGCCGATGTGTTCGCTCCCGTCAGACGTCAGCAGCTGAGACGCTAACGGTGATGAAAATCTGTATTGTTTTTGTCCAATTAATGCTCTCAGTGCAGAGATATGAGATGTGACTCCTGCCTGCGAAGCTTCAGGCTGCACGGTTTATCGCTGGCTAAGGGCCCTTTGCTGTAAGTGCTATCAATTATTTACCAGCGGAGGCACGACACAGGAAGCGACTCAGTAGTTAATCAATACATCTGATGATCCGCTCGCAAAACCACCGTTTCATGACACTAGTTCCAGTCGGTGCCAGTTAAGGAACAGAAAGTAGAGGTGAAGAACGACTCAGAAGGATAAAACTTTTATATTTGGTTTAGAAATAATATTTTTAATTAAATGTTTCCATCCAACCAGCAAAAGTATAGTAAAAAATGATGACGCCACATTAGCTCCTATTACTCTTTGGTCTTTATTGACTGAATACAGATTAATGCATATATCTAATACACAGGCATAGAGGTAATGACTTTGTTTGACATGTAATTTTAAAGTAAAGTTCTTATTATTTCATATTATATACAGTTTATAATACTGTTGAATCCATCGAACAGAGCAGAATCACTCACCCTCTCCGTTGGACTCCATCCGAGACGCTGTGTTGACAGTATCTCCAAACAAACAGTATCTGGGCATTTTCAACCCGACCACTCCGGCACAGACTGGACCTATCAAACACAAGATAAATAAAGTCACACCGTGCAATGGAACATATTATATCTAGTAATCTGTGGATTCCTCGGTGCGGCTGTCAGTGAACATGTATTTAAAAAGGACAACAGAGGCGTGAGTGATGTGAGACTGTGCTTTTGTTTTCTCTGACAATACTAATAACCAGCCTACGCACGCCAGTCAATCCCGACTGCACGTCAAGTGTTTGAATAAGAATATAAACAGTGAGCCATGAGCTGATGTCGTCTAAACACTGTGTCAGACCTGCTGATGCAGACAGATCAGGA